TATTGACTGAAAGCTTCTACTTCTACAATGTTTTATTAGTGCAGTGATGTTTCATTTTTTTTTTGGTAACTTCCCATCCTATTAAAATGGGGAGGGGGAGGTTAGAGAAGTGGAATTTAATCAGCTTCTTCTGTCTGCATAACTGCTCGAACTACTGCTTGGCATATTTTCCTGTGATTAATGTATTCTAATCAAGGTACTCCCTGACTGATGAGTGATTTTCACTTATCCTCAGAAAAAAGAACTTTTTAGAAGTTATATTTTTAGGTCTGTGAGAGGGGTTAAATGTAGATTCTCACTAATAACCACTTCTTAAAAACCTTTATCCTGGTTTTGGTGTTTTTTGGTTTTGTTTTTTTTTTTTTTTTGCTTTAGTGTATGATACCCTTATGAAGTTTTACATTACTGAAAACACACATAAATGATAAAGTACAGTTGGACATTAAAATAATTGTACATTATTGAAAACTAAACCAATCATGTCAAAGTAAGTCAAAATCTTGATGCAGTTTCATGTGTTCTCATGCTGATTTGCATAGCATTTTTGAAGTGGATGTCTCCTACATTGTCTATTATATTGCTGTGCATTAGTTGATGTTCTGTTGTATGCAAGTTCTCGCTGTGCAACAGGACCTCATTAGCTAACAGCTTATTTAGTTCACCAGCATTTTCCTCCACTTGCTATGCTGCTCTTGTTCCCTTAGAGAAAGCTCTGAAAGAATGTGACTGTGATGCAGACTTTCACATTGCACGGCATGCAGCAGTGAGTTCTCAAAAGAGATGTTTGCATGAGGTACAGAGAACTTTTTTCTGCACACTGCTGCTTTTTTCTCCTGCAGCCAGTGTGGTGAACTGTCTTTTGTCATTTAATGTGTAGATTTTTGTCACTAGTTTTCCACTTCATTGGTAGCAGGAAACTCCACAGCTTGTATAAAAGAAAAGTTAAAAGCCTCAGAGTAAAATAGTGCAACTTCACATTGAACATCTTGTGCCTAAGACACTGTAGTCTGAGGAAAAACTTGCTTCCTTGTTAACGTACCATTAGAGAGAACTTGGTCTTTCCAATCACCAGTGTGGGATTTCTTATGTGAGTATGGTATATTACTTCTCTATCATATCCCTTGTGTTAAAGG